ACTCGCTCGACAAACAACTGAACGAGGAACTTTCCACGGAAAGTTGGACCGACGCCATAGCACAAGCTATCCTGCACGGCTTGGAGAATGCAATCAATTCCGGCGCAGACATGGCGAAAGCTGCCTCTGATGCTGCGGCCCAGAGTGGAAACGCTGCTGTCGGCTTTGCGACAGACCATCCTGTGTACACTACGCTGATTGCATTGGGCATTCTGGCCTTATTGACACCTTGGGCTCTTGAAATCCTTGGGTTTGGGGAGTTGGGTCCAATTGAGGGCTCGTTTGCAGCTGGATGGCAGAGATCATTTGCTGGATATGTGCCTAAGAATGCTTTGTTTGGCTATTTCCAGAGGCTGGGTATGAAATGGCATTGGATTTAGATCTGTCTGAGTATGGTCCTCCGAAGTTGAGTTCACTTCGTATTGGCGGCTGGAAGTTTGAGATTTATCGTGCCCAATATTTTACTCTCTGTTAATTTCAATCTGTTGCTGAAGAAACAAGGTTGAGCAATGCCAATGAACCCTACTCCTGCTCACTAGTCGAATAACTGAACGAGAAACTTTCCACTGATAGTTGGAGGCTATTATCCACAACTTAGAGAATGCAATCAAATCCGGTGCGGACATGGCGAGAGCTGCGTCTGATGCTGCAGCTCAAAGTAGAAACGCCGCATCAGCTTTGCAATATACCTCTCGAGGAATAAGAGGTATCCACTGACAATGACTATACCTAATTGGGATATGGTTAGCAACACTATACTGTAATTGACTCAACTTCACGTGTTGGAGCTTTCGGTGTTGAAGGGTTGAGTTATTAGTACTTATTTGTCTTTTCTTCTCATTTTATTTATAATTTTCCGTATGTATGTGCTGTATATAGTATGTGCCATGCGAATTTCCCGATCGGGGTAAGCAAGTTTAATGATTACGTAATACTCAGGGGGTGCCCAGCACTAAAGCGGAAAGGGAAATCCAACTTGCTTGACCTAAAATCCGGTGTATTGTATGAGGAGTACGGAGTACATCGTTAACTATAGAATAAGATATGACAGGAGTGACTTATTTGCCACGTGCCATCCTTGAGGGTCTAGAACCGCACTCGCTATACAGGATAGAGGTTTTAGGGACAAAACCTAGCTTGGGGAAGCATTCAGCTAGACCTACTACTGACTTTATGTACCTCACTAGTTCACTAGGTCAATGTAACATAACCTACTACTAGTCATTACCCCGACCTAGTGACCTGATGACCCGGCGAACCCCCTATTTATACTTGAGTACTCCGTATTGTGTAGGATATATCTTCCGGTCCAGATTGCTGTCGATGCTCCCATGCAATCATAATCGCGCGGATTATTATGTGTCTCTCGGCTGCAGGCTGCAGGGGTTATTAGCACACCAATGGGAGATGAGCCATGTGGACCACCTTTGTGATGGAGGCCGCGCTGAGACAAGCTAGCGGAAGAGTCGATTGATGATAGGCCAACATGAGAAACCCTTACGGGTTGCATGTATTTAATCCAGTGACAGTCCGGAATCTGGGGCCAATGGTCAACGTTGAACAGCCTCGTTGTTTTATTCGCCCTAAAAGATGCCGTCTGGGCTGCAATCTCCACTATGTCTTGAGGCCCAAGAATCGCAGTTCTCTAGGGCATTGAGGAATTGAGAGCATATCATCGGGAAAGATCTCTTTGTACAAGAGAAATTGAAGTTGGAAAAAACATAAAGGAAAGATATAAAATGGAAATAAGAGTTGAAGAAAAGTTGAAGATGTCAAAGAACAGAAAGAACCAAAATAGAACGGGGAGGCTCTCGTGTGGATCTTTTTGTTTACTTGTGGAGTCTCGTGATTTCATCTGGACTTGGCTAATTTCCTTGGTGTGTCTTCCTTTCTCCTTCTTTTTTTTTAAAGTATTTTTTTCTCGAAACGAATATACCTAGAAGGTGACAGCTCGCGATGTTTCGAGCTCGCCGATACCGAGTTCTGGTCATATTCGCGGCGGCTGTCGTCTTCACATTCTTCCACTTTGCGCGGTCACGCGATTGGAGCTATACAGTGATTGAAGAGTCTAGCGTTCACGCACCCGATGCTGCCCATCCGCAAAACCCGGCCGTTGCTGCTGCCATTGAGGAGAGTCGAAACCGCGTGCTTCCCGACCCCAACCGCGGCTCCACCTCCTCCCCACCACAGACAGAGAAGATCATCTCGCCCGTGGGCCCCAATAGCGGCTCAAAGGACGGCAACCGGTTTAAAGATCCCTCCGACACCCCACCAGTGAAGACTCCCATCAAGAGTGATCCGAAGGACTCTGCGAAGGACTCCACGAAGGAACCCGCGAAGGAACCAGCGAAGGTGGGAGGCACCGACAGCTTGCCACCACCGGCAACGGAGAATACCAATAGCGCAAATGATGAGGAAATTGATAATGGAGGGACAGGCAGAATGGCAGCGGAGCGCCCTGAACCTGGCATTCCAACGGCCAAGTGGAAGAAGTTCCCCGAACGGTTCCCCGTCCCTGCAGAGGAGGTGATCAAGCTGCCAAAGGGAGAGACGAAGAAAATTCCTAAGCTGCAAGCGAAGTTCAAGGATGAGTCGAGCTCCGGCAAGCAAGAGCGCCTACAACGGCTTAGCACTATCAAGGCCGAGTTCACGCATGCCTGGCGAGGCTATAAGAAGATTGCGATGGGACATGACGAAGTCAAGCCTCTGTCGAAGGAGTTTGAAGACCCATTCAACGGCTGGGGAGCGACATTGGTCGATTCCCTCGATTCTCTCTGGATTATGCAATTGAAGGATGAATTCTCCGAGGCTTTGGATCTGATCAAAAACATTGATTTCAAAACGTCACTGCGAGCAGATATTCCGATGTTTGAGACAACTATCCGCTACCTTGGAGGTCTTTTGGGTGCCTATGACATTTCTGGTCATCGATACCCGGTGCTTTTGGAGAAAGCAGAGGAGCTTGCTGAGGTTCTCATTGGTGCCTTTGACACACCCAACCGCATGCCACACCTTTACTATCGCTGGGCCCCGTAAGTCTTGTCACAATTTATCCCTGATCATCTGGATGACGACTAACCAACATTTCCCAGCGAGTATGCTTCAAAGCCGCATCGGGCGTCTTCCCGAGCCGGCCTAGCTGAAATTGGGTCGCTTTCCTTGGAATTTACCCGTTTGGCTCAACTGACCAAGCGGGACAAATACTATGATGCGATAGCCCGGATTACCAACGAATTGGAGAAAATCCAGGATTTAACTAGCATCCCTGGACTGTGGCCTCTACGGGTCAATGCACAGGGATGTCCCAAGTACTCCAAGAACACACCTCCGCGTGATAGTAGCCCTACACCCGAGCAGAACCTCGCTAGTACAGCCGAGACTACTACTACGGTGACCCACAAGACTTACGCTGCACCAACAGACCTTGAGAGTTATTTGAAGCTCATCCCACGAGACACAAGCCCTGACATCGAAGGATATGCCCAACCTGCCAATGATACGCAAGCTGCCAGCGAGTCTCGCATTCAGTCACGCGAGCAAAATACACCAGCAGATACATGCAATGGCGGCTTGATACTTCCCCATTCACCCCGCGATAACGGGTACACCATGGGAGGAATGGCTGACTCGACCTACGAATACCTGCCCAAGGAATATCTGCTACTGGGTGGCATGAACGAGCAATACATGAATATGTATAAAAAGGCAGCCGCTGCGGCCCGCAAGAATCTTCTCTTCCAACCCATGGTGAAAGGTGGACGTGATATTCGGTTCATGGCCTCCACTAGTCCAATGACACCTGGAAAGATTGCAGAGCTCACTCCATCCGATCTTGAATACGAAGGCGCTCACTTGACATGTTTCGTCGGCGGCATGTTCGCCATAGGAGCCAAGGCCTTCGGCATCGATGCTGATCTGGAACTTGCAGCCAAACTGACCGACGGCTGTGTTTGGGCTTACGAGTCGACACAAACCGGAGTGATGCCTGAGCGCTTCCGCCTTTTGCCCTGTGAGAAAGGCTCGGCATGTGAGTGGGATCAAGCCCGCTTTGACATTGGTGTGGCACGCTACTCTCGCATAGACCCCGGAGCAGGACATTCGTTCCGCAACGGTGAGAGCAGCTACGAACAGCGCGTGAATTTGATTTCGCACGATCCACCCCAAGGATCTTCGAGCGGGTCGGTTCCCATCCCCATGCCGGGCTCATTAAACCCCCACGATAGCGATGTGTTGTCCAAGCGAGATGGACTCGCATTAGGAAAACGTGCGGAAGCATTTGCTCCTGCTTCAAGCCCGAGCCCTACTCCCAGTGGAACCGAACTGGAGGACCGGGATGCACCTCGTTCGTCTTCGTCGCCCGCTTCGCCTCACATCGCCGAAGTCGGCAAAGACCACCTCCCCGCAGGCATGATCAGTATTCCGTCGCCGAAATACTACCTTCGGCCCGAGGCGATCGAGTCAGTATTTATCATGTACCGTCTGACTGGCGACGAATCCTGGCGTCACAAGGGGTGGAAAATGTTCGAGGCTATTTCGAAGTATACCCGAACGGAGCTAGCCAACGCGGCCATCCACGATGTCACAGCCCAGAAACCGATCCACAAGGATACGATGGAGTCTTTCTGGCTATCTGAGACATTGAAGTATTTCTATCTTTTGTTCAGCGACCCTACTGTCGTGGACTTGGATAAATATGTTCTGTAAGTGACTGACGTAGCCTGTAAACAAACTCTGACCAAGAACTGACTTTTTACAGGAATACCGAAGCGCATCCATTCCTGCGCCCGCTTGCATAATTATGTTTTACATTTTGATACCAATGAAAGTTCTTTGTTCTATAACACATAATCTCCCATAGACCTCGTAATAACGTACAAGATAGTGTGTCCCTTAGGGTTGACCCGTAGTGGGACTCTTGAATTCCCCCCAATCCCCCGCCCTTCAACTCTCTCCAACTCTTCAAGCCGGCACATAAACCGGCATGAGCTGTCTGGTGGGAAATGGAGCCTGAGGTCTCGGAGACTGAGTTCTGGACTGGTACGTTGTTCTCAGCCCACTATTTTCTCCTTTCAAGATAATGCGACATGACAATTGACCGGTTCTCGCAGAACTTCAAGCGATCGTCTCCAAGCCCTGTGACTCCGAAGACCAGATCGACGACGCTCTCCGAGCCTATCTCGATCTAGCAACCCAACACAAAGGTGAATGGCACTTCGACCTCCGAGAAGCGATGTTAAACCCAACGACACACTCCGAAAACACGTCCGCCCCCAACTTTCCTTCCACCACGACTAACACACGTGCCCTTCCCTAGATGAATACCTCCGGTCGGAAACAGATTTCTCGCGCTGTTCCTACAAGCTATTTACATCGAGTATCTTCGCCACACATGCGGACTACGTGCGACGACAGATTCTCTACGGTCTTCTGCAGGACGACGACCCGGATACCCTCCACTTCATTGCGTCATTCATCCTCTTTGACGGACGACAGAATGAAGTCGTGCTTCAGATGCTGAATGACGAGGGCGCGTTTGCGCGGCTCCTCGAGCTCATACAGGCGATGCGGAGGGCGGATCTGGACGGCGACGCGGGTCTTCATCGTTTGTTGATGGACCTTGTGTATGAGATGTCGAGGATACAAAGGGTCAAAATTGAAGACTTGGGTGCGTTTTGGATACACGTGTGCCTGCTGCTGGTAGCTGATTATGGGGCTTGTGTGCAGTTCTCGTGGATGACGATTTCATTCGCTGTCTCTTTGATATCATCGAAGATCTCTCTTACGATGTTACCGACCCGTATCATTACCCCGTGATCCGGGTGCTGGTGAGTTCTTTCTTCGGGCTCATTTTGGTTAGAACGGGATTGACAAATTGACCAGCTGGTTCTGAATGAGCAATTCATGATCTCGGCTCACAACCCGGTGGACGGCCGGCCCTCTGGTCATTTGACCAACAAGGTTATCAAGGTCCTATCAGTATATGGTGGGATGTATAAGACATTCGGGGAGAACATCATTCTTCTTATCAACCGCGAAGGTAACGGATCCTTCTGTTCAATAAAGGCGATGACTGACAACTGACAACATGCAGCCGAGACGTCCCTTCAATTGCTTACATTGAAGCTTCTCTATCTCATATTTACCACCCCTAGCACATATGAGTACTTCTTCACGAACGATTTACACGTTCTGGTCGATATATTGATCCGGAACTTGCTCGATCTACCCGAGGAGGCCGCCGCTCTGCGGCATACTTACCTGCGTGTTCTTTACCCGCTTCTAGCTCATACACAGCTACGATACCCACCGCACTACAAGCGTGATGGACTTCGAGGGCTACTCAGCGTCCTTGTTCGGGGACAAGTCTCATATGGGAACGACGCAGAACACGAGAAAATACTGCATTTTGAAGAGGTCGATGAAACGACACGTCGACTTGTCGCCCGGTGTGCGACAGTGGATTGGCTACGTAATGTTGAACAGCTTGACGCCGCAGAAACGCAAGATACTCCCACTCAAGAGACAACAACTACAATTGAGACTGTCCTAGAACAAGGCGAGCGGCATGCGTCACCCGTAGATATCGGCGAACCACTCGACATTTCTCACACACTCTCACGATCAAGCACAGTCGCTAGCTCAACTGATACCGCATCACCAACGCGAACGGACTCGTATAGTTCGTCTAATACACCGGGCAGTCGGAAACACAGCTTAATCAACCGGCTCGGCATGAACCTAGAGCCCGCATCCGCATCTTCACTGAGCGTTCAGGCCGTTGCAGCACACCACGAAAAACCAGGCATAATCACCCCCAGCCGCAAAGATGGAGTCCCTGTCGCCGCTCTCAGTGACGAGACGCCAATAATCCGACCACCAAAGGTCAAGCCAGAACCACCGAAATCTCGACGCTGGCGCGGGCGCCGTATGGCCGTGGATGAAGATGAGCACCACTCTGCTGGCACAAGCAGTGACAGGAACACCATCCCCGAAGGCATCGAAGTCAGTCCCACCACCATTATCACCGCCAGCACACCACCACTACAGACACATAGCAGTGATCGCGACTCCGGCTCAGGTTCCACTCTCACAACTTCAGGTCCACCGCGACGATCTGTATCAAACCCACCCCCGGCCCTCCCGCCACCACGCCGTTCCAGCCATAACACACCTTCATCAAGTCACCACCGACCCGTCCCAGCAGCGGGAACAAGCCGACATGGCCAGGCTCCACTTCCGCCAAAAGCGCGCCGTTGGGGACGTGGCAAACCCCAGCATGGACAGAGTGACTCGGTCGAGAGCGGGGCCAGCAGTGTTAGTCCATCGAAGGAGCGTGAAACTGCTGAAAACACCACCGTGCTTGCTCAGCAAGAGCTGTCACAGTCACCAGAGCACAGCGTTCTTTCAGATCCGTTCTCGCCAAAGTCCCCCACATTGGTGATTTCGCCGATCGAGGTTACTGCAGACAAGACAGATGTCCCAGCCGACGGTGCTGGCGACGACCATGTGCATCTCAGTGTAGAGGAGGCGGTGCAGAATGTCTCCCTGCAGTGAGCGTTACTTCTCGATCTGTTTAATTCCTTTTTTTTTCATGATTAGATATACTTTTTGGCTTGTTTCAGGTTGTTTTTTGGCATCAAGCGCGGCTGTTCGGGTGAACAGATTGGGACATGGTAGGCTATGTCTCTAGTTATTTTGCATGGCATGGATATTTGCGAGGACATCAGCGAGGACCGGATCCTAGAATAACACAATAGAGTCTATTTGCTGACAAGAATGGAGTAGTTTACAATAATAACATAGTTGGAATAAAAGTACAAATCTATCTCCCACCGAGCAAAGCCTGCTTCAGTGAATGACCTGAGTATGGGACTAGCCATATATACTAAGAATGAAGATACCTCAGATCTTCAACCCCCAGCTTCGCCCCAGCCCAATAGCAGTATTCCACCCAAACCCAGCACACTGTCCAATGCCAGTAATCTTATCAGCAAGCGCCTTCCGATCATCAAAGCGACGCTCTACGAACGCCGCCGTCTCCACGAGATCCGGCGTCGGGTCACGGGTCATGACAACCTCAGCACTGGCATAGATAGCCGACACGGCCAGACGGCGCGTGTACCAAGTAGCATCAACAGTGTCATCACCGGAAAGAGTAAGGATATCCGAAGCAAGGGCATGCAGTTCGGTAAGAGAGAGGGGAATATTAGCCAAGAGCGACATTTGCGCGAGAGCCTAGGTAGAGAAATAGATTAGCATGGGAGATCTCCAAATCATGTCCTTCCTCCTTCTATATATATCCAAGGAAGGAAAGGAAGAAGGAAAAAAAAACTCACATCCTGCCAAACATCCCTAACATCCGCATTCATCCTCAACCTCTCCAAAAGCAGTCCCCGCACGCGCTCCTCAACAGAAAGCTCATGAACATCTTTCCCCTTCTCCGCCGCAATGCGCCGGAATAACCCGCCCTCCTCGACCTTACCGCGCAGCAGACCCCGACGACTAGCAAGCCAGAAGAGGATGAGGTCGAATTCGCCGCGGGGGAGGAGCTGCACCGAGACGTCGAGGAAGCCGGCGTCCCGCGCGCCGAGGGTTAGTGCCGTGGCTGAGAAGCCGTGCGTGGGGACGTGGGCGAGCGCGGAGGTTAGGATTGCGGTTTGGGAGTTTGTGTATGAGTGGTCTGGGAGCCGAGCGTGGAGGTCTGAGTGGTAGCTTCGGTGGCGGAGTTGTCGGGGTTTGTTTGTTCGGGGTGTGAGTTGCGTGGTGCGGGTGCTTGGTGTGGTTTGGAGAGTTGTTGTGCTTAGTCCTCGGGTTTGGCGGAGGGATTGGGCCACGGAGGGGGCGAGGACCCTTTTGGGGAGAGCGCGGGCGAGGTAGGACATGGTTTGAGTGTGCTTGGGTGGTGCAATGGGGAGATACGGAGTAGATGTGATTGTTGGAGATGGATTGGGGTTGGTCCGTGCGTTGTAGTATAAGATCGAGATGGATCTGGTGTATTGCAGAATCTACATATGTATAGTATTATACTTGATGTCTGTCTATTTGGATTGCTATATATGTGTGTAAACTGGACGGTATACTTGATTTATATCGAGCTAATGATTGAGTCTGATTCTCGGCTTCGGACATATGTACCTTTTGTATGGGATATACATACAAAAGATACAAGATGAAACTTCCTCAGACCATCCTTCAACCATAATATTATTCAAAGTGGGATCATAACTACATACTAATAGTATGCCTGTGATAGCAATGAGTCCAACTGTAGCAGACATTGTACGTAGATCGTAAATATTTAGATCTGCCGAGGACTTGAATGCAGCAAAGCAAACCGAGGAGATACCTCGAAATGACCACCGTACGTGACCCAGAAATATATATGTAAACCAGAATAGATACGATAAAAGAAAGCGAAGGCACATAAACGAACGGCGACAAGGACAAGTACGACCACGATGGATACGAAAGCCTGGGCAGTTAGACAAACTATGCTAAGATAGATACGATTTTCAAAGGATAAAGACTAGCAAACCTACGAAACATAAGTGGAAGAAAATGCTCATTCCATTTTGGAAACAATTGATCAGCCCAAATAGGCACTCGAACCCCATTTTGCGAGGACGAAGCCACGAAAGAACTGAAATGGGAATAAGGGAATCATGAACAAGACATTGCGAAAAAAAAGCCAGACGCCCCCCTGTCAAAGAAAGTGACTAGGTAAAACAAGGACGAAAGTGCTTTACATGATCTGGTCCTGGGTCAAACCGACGGTCGACTCTTGGCCTTCCATCATCTCTTCGGGACCTGGGCCAGCGTTCATGTACTTCACGAAGGTGATGCCCAGGGGACGACCACCGTACTGGTAGCCGGAGAATTTAGCTGTGAGGGATGAATATTAGTATATGGATTGGCAGTCACGATACAAATGCAACGTACCAATTGCAGTTTCAGCAGTATCAGCGGTGTCAAATTGAACCACACCAGTACCGCGGGAGCGGCCGTTAGGCTCGTACTGAATTTCAGCGCGTTCAACTTTACCGATGGTGGAGAACAGATCAACCAGGTCATCATTGCAAGTAGACCAGGGCAACTAATTGAAGTTAGCATTCCATATGTTGCCTATCGCGCATCCCAAAACTTACGTTGCGAACATAGATGACAGCGCTCTTGTCACCGTTGGAAGTGGCATAATCAGTGAAAGGGTTGGGGGGTCCGGAGGGAACAGGAGGAGCACCACCGTGCTCAAATCCACCGGCACCGGGGAAACCACCGTGGCTACCAGGGGAGCCGCCAAAGCCGCCGCGTCCAGCGAAGCCACCGCCAAAGCCTCCGCGACCACCGAAGCCTCCACGACCCATAGGACCGCCGAAGCCGCCACGACCGCCAAAGCCACCGCCAAAGCCACCACGACCACCGAAGCCGGGGCCACCACCAGCGAACCGATCTTCGCGAACTTCAAGGGGACGACCCTGCCAATCGTATCCGTTGAACTGCGCAATGGCGTTACGCGCATCATCAGGAGACTCAAAAGCAACGATGCCGGAGCCCTTGGGGCGTCCGGTAGGGTCGGTGTGCACATCGGCACGGATAACGGCACCTTGCTGGGCTGTAATACGGAGTCCGGGTCAATTCACCTCACACTAGGAAAAAGTAGGAATCCAAGTCCAAAGATCCGCACTTACCTGCTGAACGGAACAGATCCTTCAAGTCTTGCCAGCCAACGTTGAAAGGAAGCTATACCGAACTGTCAACAAAGCCTGCAGAACTTAGCATAACGGGGGTAAAAAGAGGGCACAAACGTTTGAGACATAAATCTGGCGGCCACCGCCACCAGCACCACCTTGGGGGCCTCCGAAGCCACCACCACCGAATCCACCTCGGGCACCGGGGCCGAAATCACCGCGTGGGGGACCACCAACGAAACGGGGCTCGGATTCACGGTCCTGGGGAAAAGTCAGTACTAATCGCAACACCATGGAGCTTGTGAAGACATACCTCACGAACATAAACAAGGCGACCCATCAGGCTCTGGTTGCTGAGCGTATTCACGGCGTTTTGTGCTTGGTCCCTGGTTGCATATTCCACAATCCTGGTACACATGTCAGCTAGAACGTCAATTTGAAGAAAGACGAGAAACTCACCCGCATCCCTACAAATCAGGACAGCCAAGGTCCACCCGTCAACCCTATACAAACCACGAGAAAGATCGGGGAAATAGAAGGAACTAGCCCCTCTACATATAAGCGCCCACCTTCGACATTCCATTAGGAAGAAGCAAAACATCTGCAAAGAGAACTTCTCCAGCTGTAAAAAACAAGGCGCAACCATGGTTAGCTTCAATCGTTCCAACAAATCACCAAATTCTAATGCGCAACCCCTGCTCACCCTGTCTCATAAAATCCTTAAGATGATGCCACTTGACATCATACGAAAGGTTGCCGACATAGACCCGGCGGTCTTGCTGGGACGAATCGCGAACGGTCTGCATCATATTCTCCTTGGCGGCACGATCCTCGAATCGAGCGGGGGTATATCCACTGCGTCCACCGAAAGGAGAGCCTGATCCTGGGGGTCCGGTTGCTGCTCCGGAAGCACTCAAGGGAGATCTGGAACGGCGTTCGGGACGGCGGTATTCCTCACGGTCACCACGGCTGCGGGAGCGACTCCGGGGGGAGTACGAACGACGGGCGCGTCGGGGGGGACTGCGAGAAGAGCGGCGACGGGGTGAGCGAGACCTCTCACGCTGGATCTGGTCAGACATGAACAAAAAGTAGATAGCAACGACGGTCGCAAAAGCGGGGCAATATTATAACGTATAAAATTGATGAAAAAGAGATGGGACGGAGCAAAAGACGTGTTCAGACGGCAGTCGCTATGTGGAAGTCGCAACTCCGAGGGGGGTCGTCTGCGGCGTGGGTCATGTGACCACTAGCTCTGGGGGAGTTTGTCTCGGATACACTGAGGACCTCCGGAGTAGGAGCTTAGGGCCACTGGCACAGGGTGTTTGTGCACACATCACAATTAATTTTCAGAATCACATAACGTGATAGTAATGTGCTTCCGCCTTGTGGCCCACTGATCTCCAGATCCGGCAGAGATATCTGATCAAGTAGACATGGCGGTTTCCACCCCCCGCACTGACCACACGCCGGCGATAGCGACCTCTGGTATAGAGCTGCGAGCCATGCGCACAGATTGGAATGTTTTGTAGAGTCGCTGGGGAATAGGAAGACAAAAAGGAACACGGGGCTCGCGGCAAACTTACTTGGTATGGTCGATAGACGTCGGCTGGGCGGATGAGGCTGTCAGCGGAGAATCTCAAGAAACCAAAGGATAGGAAGAAATAGGAAAAGGAGAAGAAGCGGGGGAAAATGAAAGTACCAGGCGTCAAGGTTCAACGCTTGGGGGGAGACCTGAGACGGTGATTGGATGAAGGGCTGAAATTGACCGGGGACCCTTCGAGTGTACCAGGCAGATGAGAGTAACAAACGAGTAATACAAAGATACGAAAAAGCAAAGTGTAATAATCCAGAGGACGCGCGAGAACGTACCCATGATTGCGGGCTCGATGGAGCGCCGAGATACGTTGTACAAAGACGAACGATGGGAGACGGGGGAGGTGAAGGTAGAAGGGAGCGGAAGAAGTGTTGTTCTTTGGATTCCGGATCCTACAAAGACTCTTGGGGAAATATCATGGAGAGAAGAAAATACAGAATTCTGATATGTACTTGAACACCTCGGGCAAAACCCGTCACCGCCCCGGCATATAGTTAGGACCTGGTGTATACAGCTATGGAAATATCACGGGGGAAGGAACGAAGCTGTTAGGGGGTAATGTAGATATCAATCCGCTCTTTCATTCCCAAAGAAATATCACAAACTAGACTATGATTTATGTACTGCCTAGATATGTACATCAATGTAGCTCCTGACCATACAGACCAGCCTTATCGTTCTTATCGCTCCTCTCACCTCCTGCGCACCAACATACACGAATGGACATCTGCACTCATGACTGGCTGCACGACGTATTTAAGTTACTAAATTGCCACGGCCTGTAACCTTTCGAAAGACTGTATCCATTCAAAGGTTATACATGGAAAAGTTATTCGCACTATTTAAGCCTTTCTCTGCCGTTACCTAGAGAACTTTATCAGGACTACTAAAATACCAAAGGGACTACTAATAAGTAAACTGGATCATGGGCTGCAAATACAAACAACTCTTCGTATGCATCTTTAATAAGAAAAAGACCCCCTCACTTCAATAAAAAACCTCAAACAATAAGTCCTACCGGGAAACGAAACGAAAGAAAAGGGTGCTGAGTACCCAGCATTGGGAATCAAGAATAAATCCGCGGAACAATAAACAAAAACAAAACATCCATTGCGCCACACCCTGTCTGTAAAACGAACGCCGATGCAGCATGACTTTTATGCTGTGCGAGAGACTGATCCGGTGTGGAAACAGTCCTAACGAGAGGACCAAAACGCCTTGGAACGGACGAGTTGTGTAAGGGGCGAGGAGTGGGACATGTACAGATAAAAGAGAACATCAAAGAGAAATAGAAGAAATGGGGTAAGAAAGATGAAAGGACAAATGTGGAGATGAAGATAGAAAGGGCGGGGACCCTATGCTGCCACATTGGTACGAGGATAACGGCCTGGCATCTTCATATCCAGAGCAACGGAGTTGTCTGTATTCGAACGCAGCAGAATTGGAATCTTGGCTACACTGTCTGATTCGAGACCTTGGTGGATAGGACCATTCCCAAGACCGACGGTCTGGATCTTAGGAAGGTCGACTTCGTGATCATCTACCGAAGTAGGGTTGGTATGGGTCGTAAATTCAGTCGCATTGGTGTTGGTGGGCGCCGTAGAGACACTCTCCCGACGGTCAATCTGGGCAGGAGCCGACTGATCGCGACGGTTAGCGATACCGACACCCGAGACGGCAGCAAGGGAAGCTTGATCTCCATCGGACCGAATATCGCGGTCATCCCGATTCGGGGGTTCCAGCTGCTGGCTCTGCCTCTTCTTAGCCACTGCCACGGACGGTCCGATCCAGTCACCGTAGTAGCTATCGTGTTGGTTACTATCAGGGCGAGACCTTTCATCGGTCCCGTCGTTGGATCTGTAGCTTTGGTAGGAATTGCGTCCGTCGCCGCTACCTACTGGTCGCAAGCTGTCATTAAAGGCACTGGACCCATCGGGGAGGGACCCGGCAGCCCCTAGCATATCTCTGCCAGCGGAGCTGTCCCCGCTGGAAGGTGACAGGGGCGCTTGGAGGTTTCGGTCAAGTTGGACGTCGCTGGGGAACGCGCCTCCAGCTTGGCGAGAGGATGTGGGTCGGTCGTGAGTCATGACCGCAGACTCCGCGGCGTATGGAGTGCGATCGGCTTCGTCGTCCTCCATCACCTCATTCACCGACCTGCCACTCACGCTGCGGACATGCTGCCGGACAAAGGCGTTTCGCGCCTCTCCTGTCATGCCAATCAAGCCTTCGATATCTTCATACCAGGACATCATGGTCTCGTGAGATTCGGCGCGGAAGACCCACGAGTGGCCTCGGTGCATTGCGCCAGTCTGTCGACCCTTCAGCATAAACTTGTGGGAGCTTGAGTCTTCCTGTGAGTGGGAGCCGAGTTTCTGCTCTGGAAGATAGAGAGACATGACAGGCGTCTGCCATGCCACACGATCCGCCGACTTGAACTCGTGGAGATGTGTTGGCGACAACACATACCTAGAGTTGATTAGATAATGGCTTCAAACCGCACGGTAAAGAAAATGGTACTCACCAGCCAGGAGTATAACTCTTGAGATACTTGCTCTTGCGCTCCAACATACCAGCTCGGACTTCAGCAGCTGCTGGATGATCCTTGCCAGGGTATGTGATGCTTTCTACATCCCGGAGAGGAATCCGAGGATCGACAAGTTCTTCTGTGTCGGCAACAAACTGGTTCCACTCGAAATCCTGGGGCATGGAGATCGGACCCGCCTGGAGCTTCTCAACGGTATCAAGAGCTTCATTGGCTTCGCGTCGGAGGATACTAGCGTACGCATTGTATGCCTTCTGGATCTCGCTCACGACAATCCCCTCTAGTTCACGACCAGAGTTCTCTAGGTTCAAGAATGCCTATAGAAGCAACATTAGACAAGCAACTAAGATAGACAAAGTTATCACAAACCCGATGCAAGTAGTTCTCCTCCTCGATCTGTTTCTCGACCTGCTTCTCCACGCCCAGGCGCAGGATGAATGGATCACCTTTGCCCGATGTCGCAGAGGCATCGGTATCGACAAGCCCAAGAGCCTCTTGCAAGTTCCGTACGGCTTTGCGCGTGCCGTCGACTTCCTTGTCGACGGTATTCTTGAAATCAGCCGAGAGACTCTTGATCTCCTTGGTCTTCTTCTGGAGATCGCTGCGGAGACCAGTCAATTGGCTGATCACCTCGACTTCCACCTCGACAGCCTTATTGGCCTCAGTATAACCCTGGCGGTGGAAATTCTGGAGGATCTCCGTCGCATCGGCCAGACCACCTGGCTGAAGCAAGCCCGGTGGAAGAGTCTGGTTATTAACAACGCTCGAAGCGGATAGGAACAGCTTCGCTCTAGTTTCGTAAGATTTCTGCACCTCCTTAAAAAAGAGAATCAAGTCCTTCAGAAGCTTGCGCCAAGCTACAAATCCTAGTTAGCAAAGTCTCCCTAACCCGCGCATGGACAAGAGTAAAAGCCCACCTCCAAACCGATTCGCCAGCACCTCGGTCGGGTTCCCATTAGTAGGGACCGGAGTCAGGAAAGCACTATTGACATCCTCCGCACCATCGGTGTGATACTTTTCGCGATCGCCCAAGCTCAGACTCCTCACACTGCCGGCGCGCATGCTCCTCCGGCTCCCACTGCGCCGCAAGCTCCCCTTCTTACTCAGCGAGGCCTTCTTCCGCAGGGTGCTCGAACGGGACGGGCTCGAGGATTGCACGTGCGACATGGTGGAGACAGAGCGCTGCACTCCAGGGCGATCGAACGCCGAGCTGCGGTGGCTGGCGGTATCAAAGTCCTCCTTGAAACGGGGGTTGTGGGGAACCTGCGACGACTCGAGGGCGCCGGAGCTGTACTGGTATGCTGATGTGCCGGCGAATGAATTCGGTCGCGACAGAGTCGAGCGCGGGCCGTACCCGCGACTCAAAGCCCCGGGATCAATTTGCGGGACCATGTATGCATCCTGTGAGGGCGTCTGTGGCCGCGCGGCCATCGCCATATCTGCGGGAACGTGGGGTATTATGGTTTATGCAGGTGTCTCGGGATAGGTAGCGAAGCAAAGGATCGAAATTTGGCCGAAAGTTGGAAGTAAAAAATTAAAGAAAGGAAAAAATGGGATAATCAAGATAATCAGGATAATCGGGATAGTCAAGGATAATAGCTCCAAGAGTTCACAGGCCTAAAGTGGCGTCGTTTCTGGTTACCTGGCGAACGGAGCAATTGTATGCGGGGGAGGTACTGGCAGCATGAGATTCGCCCCACTCGGTTGGAAAAAAAAGGAGAAGATCAAGAGATTGGGCTGCCGATACAGGGCAGAGCTGGGGAATTAAAGGGAAAGGAAATTCTGACGATGACGTCTACGAGATGCAAGATGGTGACGACCTTGGAAGAAACTAGGCTTTCGGGACGACCGGGAGAAAAGAGAGGGGGAAAAAGCCATTTGACTTCTCGTTCTCTATATCTTCGTGGTTGACGTACTGGATCGGAATTCAAAGCCGTCTTTAC